CACACACACACACACACACACACACACAAATAAATTTAAAAAAAAAAAAGCTTTAAAAAAAATGTACCAGTAAAATTAATTTTGAAAAACAACAAAATGGAGGAAAAGTAAAGGAAAAAAGTTTCTGAGAAAGATCTGAAACTAAAAACTCCAAAAGAAGGGGCAGGTCTTCTCACATGCTGACACAATGGGATAGACGCTAGCACAGCTGTAGTGCTGCAGATTCTTCACTGCACTCAGGGACGGCACAGCTGGGCCTCAGACAAAAGACACATCAGCTTCTGCCTGTCAGAGTTCACACACAGGAAGGATGCTTATTAAAGCCCAACGCAACGCATCTGTGCTATCTTAAGACAAAATACAGACAGAGTGGCCACATAGTATCTTCCTGTCCTTAGTGAGAAGATAAAAACTTATAACAGGACTGAACTGGACTTAAACCATTTTATGTGGTCAGAAAACTTGGTGACATGCTGCTGTCTCCAGATACATAAATGCCAGGATATCCGTTCTATCTGTTACTTGGAAAGGAAGACATTCTGAAGAGTGAAGCTCACCTTCCCGCGGTCCCTTCTCTTAGCCCATTCCTCTACCAAAAAGAACTCTTTCTTTCTGTCCAGGGGCTCAACTATGAAACCTGATTCATCCTTGCACTCTTTCAAGCTTCCTTCTTAATCACCTGTCAAGACAACCCTGTCCCCAAATGGAGCTCAAGGAACGCCTCCTTTCTCCCCACAAACTGTCAACATCTTGGAAAGCCACCAATGTCACTTGCTAGACTACCTCAATCCACCTCAACTGGCCTCCTGGCTTCTAAGCTTTGCCTGTTCCAAAACTGCAGCAGCTGAAAGTATCTCGCAAATCATTATATGTGATCATGCTCCTGACTCTCCAGATTCCCACTGATTTCAATAATCAAGTTCCAAGTCTTTAACTATAACCCACAAGGCATGCATGATTAAGTGTACTGCCAAGACATTCCTCCTCCTCATTCAAACCACAACTTTTTCTTTGTGCCTTAAAGAGACCAAGTTCCTCTTTGCTGCTGCTTGAGCGGGGCCACTTTGACCTGAACATCCCTTGCTCACTCCTATGCCTCTGCGGGCTCCAGGCAATTCTCCAGGCTTGTAGACCTTCGCATCATGCTGGCTGTTCCCTGTTGCTCCCTCTCCATTGTGGCTTCAAAGGGAAGCAATAATTAGGTTACGAGGGGCAGAATGCAAGAGAGGCCTGCCAAAATGCGGGGTAGAAGTTGTGGAACAAGAAGCCATACTGAAGCTTTAAAATTCAAGTGTAATCATCTAAAGAATATAGACACTCAGAGAAACAGAAGTCGTGAGCCTCGTGTGTGTTTTAAGAGTAAAATCAAAATCTGTATTTTTAAGAAAAATTATGGCGGTTGCACTAATCTACATTCCCACCAGCAGTGGAGAAGGGTTCCTTTTTCCCCACAGTCTCTCCAACATTTGTTGTTGGGTGATTTCTTTATGATAGCCATTCTTTCTGGGGTGAGATGATATCTCAATGTGGTTTTAATTTCATTTCGCGGATGGCTAGTGATGTGGAGCATTTTTTCATATATTTATTTGCTTCTTTAATTTCATCCTTTGAGAAGTGTGTGTTCATCTCAGATGCCCATTTCTGGACTGGGTCTTTAAATTTTGGAGGCCTAGTGTTTTTTAGTTCTTTATAAATTCCAGAGAGCAGACTTTTGTCTGAGTACTTATTTGTCATGATTTTTTCCAAATTTGTGGGTTGTCTTTTCACTTTGTTGGTAATTTCTTTTGACGTGAAAAACTTCTCAGTAAGAGCAGGTCCCAGTTGTTAATTCTTTCAAAGAAGATGGGCAAGGCAATGATCCTGAGAATCTCCAGAGGATTTTTGAATCTAGCAGTTAATTGGAAAGATTCTCACCCTGACTAACTATATATACTGACACCTGTGAACTAAGCAACTGCACTGAAGATAGTAATCTGTAATAGTAGTTTCATGCTTGGAGTGCTGGTCATTCTGGTCTTCTGAATATGGGCTGCTTGTCTTGACATGCCAGTTGCTGCTGTGCTGTCTCTTGGGTAGATGATTGTTCAAAAAGAAGGGGGTGGTGAATGAAGGCAAGAGACAGGAAAAGGAATATTGTGGGACTGTCCTGCTTCAAGGTTGTATATGGTTAGATTTTTGGACTTATGTGTAAACATAAGAATTATATAATTTGTTATGCCTATTTTTAAAATATTTTCTAATTTCTAAATGTTTTTTCATCATATTCTGTAGGGACTTAAAGTTTAACATATCAATACTTGATGAAAAGTACCTGTTCCATCTTATGCCTAAAATGTTTGATATTCAGACAGATAGTGAGGTTAAGCTTAACAGCCTAGCTTGTATGGTAATAACAATAAGCTTCTCTTCCGGAAGGTTAAGTTTGCAGACCAAAATTAGAGAAAAAGGAGGGCCACAAGGAAAGCCAACATTTTGGCCCTAGCCTTCCAAGGTCAATTAAGACTCAGGACATATGAGAACCTGTATTGTAACGTCATGTAACTCAGTAGTGTCCCAAATTTCTGATCAAGGAGATCATGGGGCCAAAGAGGAAAGTGATTGATGATCTAGAGTGTCACATGGAGTACCTAAGGAGAGTCACATGGAGAGAAAACATTCTCTCAGGCTTTCACAGAGAGCACATTGGCCAAGCAATGGCCGTGACTCATCCACATGGCTGACACTGACAAAAGTTCTACAATCTGAGGTACAGGATCTCAGGATGAATCCTGAAGGGATTTGACTGACCTTATCAGACCCAAAAGCTACAACTCTTGTTACATAGGTCCTGCTTTACCTTGGTCTTAACCATCCAGCAGAAGAGTATAAAAACGAAATATAAGAAGTAAAGCCACGCTGTTATGTTGAGCTGTAGGTGACTCAGGTCAACAATTATTGACATTGCCAGTGAAGCGGAAGACCCAATATTATTATGGACTACTGAACTCTTTTAGAATATGTTGCTGAGTTAACACACCTATAATATTCAAATAACAGAACTTAACAAGAAAAGGGGATACAGATGAATGTCCATTTTGTATCTGTGTATTCAAAATGGTTAGGATAGATATATAGTTGCATTCTCTTTATGAATAGAGGGATTTGTTCTAATAGTGTTTGTAAACAGGATATCAAGTCCACATCTTGTACAGCAACTAACCACCTGGAAGAATGTATGCAATGTGTTAATTATTGAAACTGTCCTACCAATTTGGTTTGAAACTGTCTCATTGCTATTTGTTTCTCAATAAAATTATGGAAAAAAAAAAAAGAAAAATTAAGTGTTATACTTGACAATGCCTTTCTTATTCTGTTTGCATCAAGCTTCCAGTAGAGAGAACTTAGGAAAAGGAAAGATCTTGCCTATCATCCCAGTATAATCCTTAAGAGGGAACCACAGACCTCAGGAGGCAGCTGCTTTACTCTCCTGGAATAAATCCTTCATATCTAACAGAGCCCTTCTGCTTTCCTTCAATGATACCTTAGAGACTCTCTCTGTGTGAATAAAGAAGAGTTAAAGGATCCTTTGGCTGCCTGCATGTGAATGTGCTCACAGAATGAGAACAAATGGATGCGGTAACTTCTGTGGCCCTTAAATACGGAGGGGGCCAAAAAAGAGCACACACATAACCTTTTCAGAAGAGTGGGTATATGTCACTGACAAAGAGGCCATAAAGTAAATCTAATACCACAAACACCTTATGTTCTAAGTGTCTCTATACCTAGTATTAAGTTACCTATCATAATCTTAGGCTTCCTCGCCACTGTCCATTTCAATATCCATCTCTTCTGTATCAGCAGCCCGGGACAGGATGTCTGCCATCAGTGCTTCTTCCAATTTCTTACGTACTTGCTGTACTCGCTCTTCCTGTTTCCTTTTCAAAATCAGAAGAAAAAGATACCAAAGATTTAGCAAATCATGAAAATATGAAGCTGCCTCAAAAGTTCATCCTTATTTCAGTCATTAAACTCCTGAATAAAATTACTCCCCTTAAACTTGTCAAATTGCTTCTATACTTGCAGAACAAATGTAGTGCCTAGCCTTGGCCAAAAACAGATATGCACAGGCAGTTATCCATGTTTCACAGAGAATTCTAGAAGGAATACATCCATTTCAATGACCTCATCCTCAACTTCAAGAGCTTCAAGTTATGTGGCCAGGTACTGTAGCACCCACCTGTAATTCTAGCTACTTAAGAGGCCAAGGCAGGAGCATTCCAACTTTGAAGATAGGCTGGGCAATTCAACAAGAAGTCTCAAAATAAAATAGTAACTAAGTAATTAATTAATTAATACGGATGGGGATACAAATTACTACTAGAACACTTGCCTAGTATGTACAGGGGCCTGGTGCCCAGCACCAACAAAAAAAGAAAAAGAATTTCAAGCATGTGAAGATTTGGTTTATTCCTACAAAGGAAAAATAGAAGTAAACTGGAAGCAAGGACAAGAGGGAAGTAATAAGGAAGATAAAGGGAAAGTGACTTTTTTGATAAAGCATTGAGAAAGACACCAAGCAGAAGCAAAATAGACTGGGATTTGCTCCGGTGTTCCATGGCTATGTTAGGGGACAGCCCTCTGGGATCCAGGTCTCCAGGCAACAGTTCAGCAGGAAAGTCCTAGGATCACATGAGCAGAGAGACCAAAGTACAACTCAACTGAGGTGAGCTGAGGAGACTGAGGACACACATAAGTGTCTGTCTTAGTGACTACAAGGATGAGTCAAAAATGAGTTAGTAACTCCAAGTTATAAACAAGACTCTGAATGTTAAATGGAAACAAAATCTAAAAGAAAAGGAGCTCAATACCTTTCCCCTTTGAAAAGTAAAGACAAAAGCTGAGATTAGTTCTCCAAGTCAGCGAAGAAAAAATTTATATCCAGAACCAAGTAGGGAGGCAAAAGTTGAAGACACACAAGAGAAACGGTAGACTGGTAGGTAAAGGTCCAGGTGAAAAAAGACAAACGAAGAGGCAAAGGCAGAGCTGGGAAAGTTAAGCTCATCTAGAGGAAAGGTTACGCCCTCCCCAGAGAGCAGAGGAGAGATGGCCAGAATGCATGCAGAGCAGGTGACAGAGCAAAACAATGACAAGGAAGAGACACAGGAAAACTGGGGGAGAAGTGACTTACTCTACAGTAACTGAGGGAGACAGATGCAGCACTGCCCAAACCTAGCACAGAAGAAAAGCAGAGGAGCCATGTCATAGAGGATCCATCAACAGTCACTGAGTGCTCACTTCCTGAGGCTCAGCCTTACGGAAGTGACATTTGCTGTCCTCCTGACCACATCTGTCTGCACCACAGAAGACTATGTACAAGGCAGTAAGGATAACAAATACTGTACAGACGCTGAGACTTTATTAAACTTTAGTAAACTTTTCTTCATTAAACTCCAAAAGCCAGTACAAAGAATTAAAAGATAAAAAACTTCTATTTTTCAAATGGATTTTTAAAAATGAGGCAGAGACAGGGAGGGGATTACTGGGTCAGTCTGTGCTTTGTAGCCTCTGTCAGATTAAAAGAAAATGGAATTGAACAGATCTGGAACAGGTGAACAGGGTGATAATGGAACAGGGTGAAGAAGAGCACATTTACTTCTTACATAGTCTCCCACCTGCCCAGTGACTCAAAGTCTGTCAAATGGCCATCATTTTCACTGGCAGTCCTGCCCTCCTAATGTCAGTACAAGAATATGTAGAGCCCTTCTGGAGTAATTACATGAGGAAATAAAGCAAATGACACTTTTGGATGAAGACATGCATCTTACATTCTTAAAATCTGCCACTGATTTTATCTCGAGCATTACTTCCCACATTTATGAGAGGTGAAATTAAAGTATTTTCCCATTGTGATAGGCAGAGTTTCAAGATGTTACCAAGAGTCTTACTCCCATATCCACTCTGTGTATACATTCTACCTTTCAGGATGGGTGGAATTTGTGAATATGTAAGGGTAGCACGTAATGATTATATTACTAATATTATATGACTAATTATTGCTAATATCATAATAATAATTATACTAATTAATTCGAGTGGCCCTGAATTAATCAAAAGAAAGATTAATATAATAAGCCCAGATTAATATAATTAGTAGGGGTGGCCCCTTCCTGAAAGAATTATGTAAGGGCACATGGAGGAAGACATGTGGCAAGGAACTACTGGCAGCCTTTAGAAGCTGAGAGTGACATGTATCCCATAGCCAACAAAAAGGGCAGAGGTCTTAAGCCTACAACCACAAGGAATAAATTCTGCAAAAATTTTGTGATCTGAAAAAAGAATCCCAAGCTCCAGAAGGAAGTGTAATCCAGCCAACTTTGACATTAGGTTTATGAGAACCCAGCAGCTGAACTACTGAACTGTGAGATAATAATGGATCTTGTTTTAAGCTGCAAAAGTGTGTAGATCGGTTACAAAGTATTAGAAAACAAAAGTATCAATGAAATATTATCAAATATTCTTTAAAAGTTATACAATAATATTTGAGATCTCTAATTGGAAGCTTTATGTAAACAAAATAATGACTATACAATGAGAGAAAGGGTAATAATTTTTTTGTGGTCATTTGTTTTGAACATTATTAATTTGGCAAGGAATTTTGCTTAAGAATTTCTGTTAGATGGCTGGAGAGATGGCTCAGTGGTCTAAGGCACCTACTTGGAACAAGCTTGGCAAAGCATCAGGGACCGCAGTTCAATCCCCCAGCACCACATGCC